CGAAAGGAGGTTGGCTCACGAATCTTGTCAACCTCGGCCAAGTACGCACGATACTCAGGCGTCATGCGTGCATATGAAACGTGATTGGACAGCGGGTAGCGCACGTGTGATGCAGACTGTAAGTCTGTTTCATAAGTATCGACAAGATGGCGTGGAGGTCTTCTTTCACGCTCACCACGACGCGGCGCGACAGCAACTGGTGTCGGCTGCTTCCCAGGAGTTTCAGTAGCTGCTGGAGGCGGAGAGGGGGATGCATCACGACTTGCACCCGTGGCCGGGGGAGGTGTCGACTGATTTCCAGGCGGAGGTGTCCCCATTTGCGCCCCCAAAGGACGAGAACTGGAAACTTCGGTGAGAGGGACATGCTCGTCTGACTTGGGCTGGTCAACCACATCATCAATAAATGTTGCTGGTGGTACCCAATGAAATTCCCGCGGGTCTTGTGCTTGAAACGGGAAATAGGTCTCGTGGAAGATAACATCACGAGAGACGACGACTTTACGACTGAGCAAATCATATACTTTGTAGCCCTTTTGAGTCGCGGCGTAACCCAAGAAAACCCCTGCGCGACCTCTATCGGCAAACTTGTGAAGATTACTGTGAGTATCTTTCACATAAACAAGACAACCAAACACACGGAGATGATCGTACGAAGCAGTCTTACCGAACAACACCTCAAAAGGTGTTTTGCCAGTAGCTACGGTGGGCATCCTGTTGATCAAGTATGTGGCGGTGAGAATACATTCACCCCAAAAACGAAGTGGAAGACCTGCCTGAAAACGCAGAGCGCGTGCAGTTTCAAGAATATGCCGATGTTTGCGTTCAACAACCCCGTTTTGTTGGGGAGTATCGGTGCAACTAGTTTGTAAGACAATACCAGACTTCTCATAGTATTCACGCATAGATGTTGTTGAAAATTCGTGCCCATTATCTGCTTGAATACGTTGCACTTTCTTGCCAAACTGAGTTTGCACCATCTCACAAAACGCAACAATACATCGACCCACTTCTGACTTAAACTTAATCAAATAAACCCAGACACTTCGACTGAAATCATCAACCACTGTCAAAAAATAATGTGCTCCACTGAGAGAAGCCATCTGATAACCTCCCCAAATATCCATATGCAATAACTGAAAACAATCCGAAGTCTTGATACTACTATGAGGAAAAGGTAACCGACTCTGTTTTGCTCGTAAACAAGAATGACAAGGTTCCTTAGTCGAAGCTGTCGAAAAAGGAACAATATGACTAAGATGAGATAGCTTTGCCGACGAAGGGTGGCCGAGACGGCTGTGCCACAGTTCTGCAGTCAACTTCTCTTTACCATCCGCAGCAAACACATAGTTATCATTGCTCCCAAGCAGCTTCAAGTAATAGAGACCGTCACGGAGAATCCCCTTCCCAATCACGCTCCTGGAGCGTAAGTCCTGAAGAACACACATATCACGGAGAAAAATCAAAGCTACATCATTATCTTTGGTCAACCTGCTGACAGACAACAAGTTGCAGCGAAACTCTGGTACGTGTAGATCTCGGTGGTCGCCGTATCATTAAAAAAAACTGACCGAACCCACACTTTTGACAGGAACACTATCGCCGTTAGGTATCCTGACCGGCTGACTAGTTTGAGTGAGACCATCTCGACTCAACAAATTTGCATCCTTAGTTATATGTTCATTACAACCTGAATCAATTAACCATTCGGAATCACAGAAGGAAGTACCTGCCATGTGTGCCGAAGGGTCTGTTTGCGGAGATGATGTCCCAAAAAACTTCTTTAGCTGCTCGAGCTGGTTCATCGTGAACCCCGGAACAGGACTCACATCCGTCTCAGCTTGCGCAGCCTTGGGAGTTCCATCAGAGGTATTGCGACGCCTCCGATCACCACGTTCACGTTGATTATTGGACTTGTTGCGGGGTGGCCATCCTATCAAGTCGTAGCATGACTCCTTCAAGTGGCCTATCTTGCCGCAATGTTGGCATTTTACACGGCCATCGGAAGTACCCGAAGCATCAGACGCACGAGAACCACCTGTCCGTTCTCCTTCGTTCTTAGCTGCGAAGGCCGCAGCTTCAGGAGCAGCACGTCGCTTCTGAGCCAACAACCGCTGTTGCTCATCGTTAGAAACCATATTGTAAGCTTCGGATAGAGTAGGTACAGGCTTCATGGCCAAAATTTGGCTTCGTACGGTGCCGAAACTTTCATCTAAACCCATCAAGAAATCATAAAGCCTTGCATACTCCTCCTTGGTGCGTATGCGCTGCTCTAACCCACATTGACACTGGCCGCAGGTACACGTCTCCGATGGCGACATTGATTGAGCTTCTTCCCATAATGCCCTGAGCTGTGTATAAAAGGAAGATACTGACAATTTCTCTTGCCATAACGCGCTGATAAGTCGCCGCAATTCATAGCCTCTGGTAAGACTTCCTTGACCGAACCTCTCCTTGAGGTCTACCCATACTTCACGCGCTGTTTTGGCGTATCGCACACTGCTTCTGACTTCTTTGTCCATAGCCATTCGAAGCCAGCTCTTGACGACTGCATCGCACCTATTCCAGGCACGCAATTCTGGATCCGTTGTAGGTCGAGGTATTGTGCCATCAACGAACCCGAACTTGTTCTTCACAACGAGTGCATCACTCATATCAACTACCCATTCACCGTAGTTCGTCGGAGTCAGGACATCCCCAACGTTGAGTTGTCCCCCGCAATCGGAGGGATGAAGATAATAGACCGACATAGGGTCTGTGGACAGCTCGGAGTTGACAGCTCCGTTCTTTGTACCCGACCCTGTGGGCTTCTTCCCATCGTCAGAGTCACTCATGATTAAAACAATTAACCGAGATCAGCAGCAGCTTAGCAGAACCAGGCTCTGATACCATAATAAATCTAGCCTACGCAAACGAAGAACGCGAGAACACACGAGAGTTTTACGTGGTATCCTCGGTCTAGTATTGACCGAGACTAATCCACGGGAGAGGACTGCCTCTCCGACTTGATCTTATTATTGCTGTGCGGCTAGGTTACATTGGCCGAATGGCCTACAATGCATTTATAGTCCTCATCTCCTAGGTTTACACAGCATGAATGAGAATTACAATGCAACCTAGGACAAGGACTCCTTGCCGTACAAGTCTCAACATTGCAACTACTTGTAAACACAGCCGAGCCCACATGGGCTGACTTGGGCTCAACTTGATCCTGATCCAATATGGACAGGTGGCATGGACAATAAAGGGACTACACCGACAACGAATCACCTGCTCATGCCATGTAAATGGCATGGATCCAGCCACCACATGAGTGTGGCTTATCAGTTATGACCAGGTTCTCACATCACAAATCTAACTAAAACTTGACACTTCGACCTCGTATTTTTTTAGTCATGATTGGCTTTTGATTTTTCTTTTCTCTTCTTTTTTTTTTACTAATATTATATTTATTTATTTTAATATAGAAGAGAGTGACAAACGTCACTAATATCCATGCCCTTTGGCACCCACCAACGTGCCAAAGGTGTACAACCACTGCCAAGTCCATGGGTTAAACCAGACCAACCATCCATACACTACTTGTCTTCCCTCCATTGAGGGAAACAACTCATTCGCTGTTGGTTTCAAATTTTCCAACTTAACAATGGATGACACCCTCTCAACTTGCCTTATCTTAATGGGCTTGCAAGGGGTCCCATGATCCACTGCCTTGGCCACCTTACTAGACATGTTGAGTTGATGTAGAACCCGATGTGTTTGTCTCGTCCTGGGTGGTGCACTAGACATTTTCAACTCCTTCGACTCATCAAAAGGGGCCAAGAGTTGTCATCTGTCTTATTTTACCCCAACTTGGCACATGCTTACCCTTCCCATATGGTTGAGAAGACGGGTGTTTGGACTTACAGAGTTGACAACCACCCTTGTGGCCAACTTGACTCTTTCTAAAACCCATATCTTCATGATTTTTACACTTAACACATAACAACCCTTGATTCTTTATAGGACCATGATTGGTTGGTGTGTGTCGAGATGTCTTATTCATGCCTTCTTGTTTGCCATTCATGTTTGGCATGCAATTAGGGGCTTTAGGCATGGACTTGCTTCCTCGTCCATCCCTTAACACCATCTCATACTTAGAATTTTTTTGAGTGGGTTGGGTGTGATGAACACTCCTATAATTTCCTCCCACTTGTTTCTCCATGGTCGGTGACATGCCCCCCTGTCCACTGGTTGGAGACATGCCCCCCATACCATTATTCATGATTGTTGACGTGCCCCCCTTGCTAGACTTAGCCATATTAGTATGCTTACTAAAAGCATGTGTGGCTTCATGTTGTGGCTTATTGGGCACACCTATCAACCTACTGGTTGTGATTGATGACATGCCCCCCATGTCATCCTTAGCTACACTATCATGCTTACTACAAGCATGTGTGGCTTGGTTTTGTTCTGGCTTCTTGGGCATGTGTATCTTTCTATTATTTGTGGTTGATGATATGCCCCCTTGTCGACCCTTCATGGGTGGCATGCTACAAGGGGCCTTGCCTCCTTGTGCACTCTTTGACACGTTGTCAAAGTTATGAAAATCATAGGTGGCATGGGTATGCAAGACCCACTTAGATTTGCCACTCACTCCATCCTTCATGTATGATGACATGCCCCCCTGCCCATTGCATGGAGATGGAGATATGCCCCCCATGCCATCCTTAGGAAACAAATATGGTGTTTTGTTGGACACACCATTTTGTTCACCTTTCTTGACATCAACTTGCCCATCACCCTGACTCTTCATCTTCATCTTGTCAGGTGGTAGGCTTCCATGCGCCTCTTCCTGCCCCCCTGGTGGTTTGCATCCACCAGACCGCTTAAGCATCGATGGCAACGAGGTTGGGCAAACTTGTGGTAGCACATCCATAGCTAGTGACCCTCCACCAACTGTCATGTTTAAGAATGATCTAGCCTTTGAGATAGTTTTTAGAGTAACTGTCTGCACAGGCGGCGGTTGCTTTACATGGGTGGTGAATGTTTTAGTAATATTCTTGTCATAACCGCCTTGTTGAAGAGGTGGTTGACTCATTGCCGGAGAAGGTAAGTTCCCTGACTGTGGCTGGGTAGTCCGGCCACCAGAGAACAGGATACTTGTATACTCAGTAGCAATACTTGGTGGCGGATCTATACCATTTTTTGGTAAAGAAATTTCTCGCACCACTGGTTCTATAAAATATTTTTTAAGCTTATCCAAGCAATATGTATTTTCTGTGGTTGCTTCAATTAATTCATCCAAACGTCTATCTAACATAGAACTAAAAGAAGCAAGTTTTAGACTTGTCTGTTGTGAACTTCTAACAAGTCCATTCAAACTCTCTTCCATCAATCGACGGATCTCCACCATCACTTGACGGTTCTCCACCACCAACTTGCAGTTATCATCCACTATTGAGCGGAGTGACATGGCAGTGGTGGTTACATCGGCACAAGGTGCCGCCGGTGGCAAGATCTCAATCATGCCATTGTTTCCGACAACACTTACTGATGCTTGGCCAAATTTGAACTTGGCCGCCAACTCCTTCGCAACTCCTGGTGATATATCACCTTCATGTTCTCTCAGTCGTGGAGCCATCTAATCAAACACATAGAGTCCCACCAGGTGTGCCAATTTGTTTTCCGGCAAGGAAAATCAGGTGTTTGAACACAATGAATGCACCTTGACTTCTTGAACAACGATTAATAACACGGTTCACTCCTCTCCGAACAATGTTCGAACGAGGGTGTTTGATGTTTTTGATGGTTTTTTGGGGACAAACTAAGTTAATTACACCTACTCCTATGGAGGTTCATTGAGAGCTCCAAAAACTAAGGCTATGGCTAATTTGCAGAGAAAAAGATAAAGTTTGACATAGTGTGTCAAATGGTTCGTTGTGGAACCTTTTTCCCGTCTTTGTTTCTCCTATTTATAGCCACTGGGTGTAACTGCCTTGGTAACCGCCGTAGTAACTGCTAGCTGGCCTATTGCTCCAACCGCCTTAGGGGCCGCTTGTCGCTGCTTAGGTGACTAGTTGGTAACCGTCGCCTTGGGGGTCTCGTCTCGTCGCCCTGTCATGACTGGATGGGGTTGAGGTTCCTGCCTTAGCCTCCATGAGCCATGATGAGGTCTTGATCTCACCCTCGACTGCTTGATGACTCCCCGCTCCTGAGTCCGCTACCACCTCATGACACCAAGTCCTTCTCATTAACTTGTTGGTTGTCACCAAGCCGTCTCATCGGCTTGATACCTTCTGGCATGCCACCAAGCCTATGTAATCAACTTGACACCCCTAGCTACCAAGCCAGCCCTGGTGGCTTGGTATCCATACTTAGTTTTTGTAGCCTCATCAAGTTGGTAAATTACACCCTGCCGGCTTGGTACCCTGTTAGGGTGCTACCAAGCCCGTCTTGGGACTTTGTCTCCATATGGCCTCATAAGGGCCATACATGGCTGTTTGGTACCTAGTCGGGTGGCCACCTCAGCTAGCCACCATGTCTTCGTCGAATTTCTTGTCTTGTTGGCTTGATACCCTGATGTCTGGCTATCAAGTCCGTCTTGGCCCCCTGTTGCCTGGCCACCAAGTCAGTCTTACCGGCTTGATACCCCCTTGGGGTCATGATACCAAGGGGTATGATACCCTGTCGCTTTGCTTGGCTGCCAAGCCTGTCTTGCCGACCCCGTTGGCCTCATACTTAGCCAAATTCATGCCTTTCATGTCTTGGTACCAAGCCATGCCTTGCCGGCTTGGTACCCTCTTGCTATGGCCATGTGATTCCATACTTAACCAATTTTCATGTATTTTAGTATCAAGCATGCCTTTTCGACTTGATACCCCTTTGGCTCTATACTTAGCCAAATTCAATGTTTTGGTACCAGGCCCTCCTTGCCGGCATGGTACCCTCTTGCCCCATACTTAGCCGATTTTGTCTCAGCACGGATGGCCTCCTATTTGATACCCGGTTGTTTGGCACCCCTCGGACGGTGTCATGCTTGACACCCTTGGACGAGACCCCCCTTGGACGAGATCATGCATGACCCCCTTTGTGCTTGACCCCCTTGGACGGTGTCATGCATGACCCCCCTTGTGCTGTGGGTCTCAACACTTAGCCAAATTTTGGCCTTCCTTGCACCACATGGCGAAAGGGTACTCGCGATGACCTCCTTGTGCTGTGGATCTCAACACTTAGCCAAATTTTGGCTCTCTCTGCCACCACAGCTAGGGGTACTAGTGATGACCCCCTTGGACGATATCATGCACAACCCCCTTGGACGAGACCCCCTTGGACGAGGTCATGCATGACCCCCTTGTGGTTGGGTCTCAATACTTAGTCAAATTTCATACCAAGGGGTGGAGGCATCGTCCGGCTATGGGGTCACGAAGACGGGTCGGCCATCGTATAGAGGAGAAGGGGTTTGGCCACTTAGGCCCAAAAACCCAACCCAACAAGGCCCAGCTATCTCTTTTAATCATTAATGTTGAGCTGGCCTTATAAATCACTACCACTCCTTGAAAATAATCAATGTGGTATTAAGTTATTTTTTTTAGTGGTAAACAGTAACAAACTTCTAACAAAAAAGCTTATTAAAGAAAAGGGATCTATAGCTTATGAAATGAAATTGGATCATAATTCATCAGTAGAAGTTATAATTCTTGTGTGGTTATAGGAAGAATATATTTTGAACTTAATCACATATACTTTAAAGGTCCAAACAATTTTTTTAAAGGAAGGAAAGCTGAAAATAAATGTTTTCTCTGGAAAAAAAATGAGAGGGGACTAATTGATTTTTTTTTTTTTTTTTTTTTTTTTGCAGACGAATCATCATATCGCTACAGGAGACAGATTCGGATCCGAGCAGCATAACCCATGTGAGGCATACGGGTAATGGCGCGACACATATTATGGCTCATAGTGAGACCCACTGGGATAGTAGAGAAGTGCGGCTTGAAAGGCCTCCAGTTTTTCTTACCGATCAACTTCGTTTGGATGACGTAACCTCTTTACTCTGATTATTTTATTTCACAGGTTACCCGTAAAAATAAAAGATTTTTTTTTTGGGTTATAGTATCATTATTCCAAGTGAACATGTGGCTGGACCTGATCAACGGGTCCTTGTTTATTTCTTTTCATACAAGTTTATGGGTATGGTTAGTTTATATTGATAAGAATTATTGTCGATCATGGGCTCATGACATGTTTTGAGGACTAGTGTTGCGGTCCACACACGTCGAGCTCCTATTGCTAGTTTTAACAACATGAGAATGGGTAAAAAAAAATTATAGAGAGAATGGGTAATTAATGTCCTTATTAAATATATATTGTAATTCCGAAATATATAATAATTTATTTATATTCAAATCATGAATTAAATCGAGTATGAGGTATAGTTTTAAACGTCAATTGCTAATGAATAAACCTCATAGCTCAATTATCCAAACACGAATATGAAAATCAATTTTAAAAATAATAATCGATGATTTGATTTGTCAAAGTAAAAAACATACGCTATTCATATCCATGTATTTACTGATAAGAAAGAGTGCAAACTATGCACTCTTCTCTAAAATTAGTCTTATAATACCGACTTTAAGGTTTTAATGGGAAGCACTATTCTAATATGAATCATATAACATAGGAACGTAAATAGTACTCAATTTATTACCCTGAGCCTTATACCTTCAATTATAAACCCTAATCCTAAACTACAAATTTAACCCTAAACCTAAATTCCTAACAATAAGTTCTTCAAATCAAAATAAATCTTGAATGATTTTTGTTCAAATTCATGTGTTTTCATGTCTATTATATCATAACTGACAATTTATATATTTTTTTGACATGGATCGCCTATTTAGAATGACGATTAGGAAGCAGGGGCACAACATGCACAAAAAAAATGAGTGCACTGAAGACAAAACCACACATATAGTAAAAACTATTATATTCCTATAGCATAACATAATTTAAGTGACCAGGGAGTCGAATTTAATTTAGCAAATCAGAATGGTTGATTGTTTTATTTTCTTAAATTGATTTCCCATTCGAGTTTAGAAATAGAACGTTAAATTTACAAATTTGATAAAACAAATAATCAATCATTTTTTATTTATTGAAGTTCAGCAAAGTACATCCAATAATTAAAAAAGAACCTAAAATACAATATATTATCGAAATACGCTAGTCATTTATACAAGTTTATTCGCATAGTACCAAATGATAGAGCGATTATAAAATTTTGAGGTTTGCCTGTTATGATGTTATCTAGATCCTAGCCCCCATAATATGCTTTTGGTTATCTAAATTTTTAAATCAAAGTCCTAATAATTTCCGTCTCCGCATACCACTCCATGTTTCTGGCTACTATACATAGCTTGAGAAATAATAGTTTTTTTCCCTGTACCTATTTGTTGATTCATGGAATTTTTTATTTGTCTACTGGATGAAGCAGCTTAATATGGACTTGATTACCATAGATTGGACTTGATTACCATAGATATAAGAAAATAAGATTACTGCACCTGCATTTTGTTGATGGCTGTAAATAGCAAGAGGCATCAATTAGGTGAGAAATCAACATAGGGGAATGGTTATCACAATTTAAGTCAAGTCTCTAGATCATGAAAATATGGCAAAACACATGCAAACATAAACCGCGTGAACTTAAACCCCAATTTGAAGCATTGGACACATTAATTGAATTCAATCAACCAAACATTAACAATTATCATGCATCACATACTATACCCTGAATGAGGGTTCGGGGGACTAAGTACCATAACTTAAGAAATTACCAACGAGGGGGAAGAGGAATAATGTAAACAAGTGTAAATATTCTACGAGTTCTGAGGGTCATATTCTACGAGGTCTTTTCATAGTGACTACTCAACTCAAACCTAACCTATTATGCTCGAATGAGAATGCAAAGAATGTAAAACTAATGTGTTGAGGTGCCATTGAGTTCGTGTTCTAAACTACTATCCAAGTAACGAAGTAAAAAATGCAATGCAAGGAATGTAAACGTGTAAATTAAAGCAAGTAAAAGGTTTGTTTAGGTAGTTTTCTTTAGATCCCATGCATACTAACTCATCAATGAGATGCTTCTATGCATAATCTGTTATGATTTTCTATCCCCTCTAAGAACCCTCTCTATGTGTGCGAGTGCCTCTTGAGATAGAGACTTGACTAGCTAATGTGTGCTTACACTTCATGTCTTCACCTAATCAATGAAGAACAAGGATGTTAGGATAGTGTGGGAAACATAATTATTAGCTGTTTTCGGTTATTTCGTATTAGTGTCGGTTTTTATTGATTGGGGGATTATTTGGGTATTTGGGGGAATAAACAGGTAGTTAATTGTTATGTTTTATTATTCGGGTAGCAGATAGGAATTAGACAGGTTATATATTCTGTAATAGGGTCTTATTTTGGGATTAAGCAATTACAGAACCAAAAACCTAAAACCTAACTCTCTCTCCTCTCTCTCTCCTGCGGATTCTCTCTCTCTCTTTTCC